ATGAGCCGATTAAAGTAAGGGAAGGGGGTTGTTCTTGTGAAAATGAATCTATGTGCCTGTGTAGACAATTAAGGAGTTTGGATTTGCATGTCAGTGTGATTAAATGGCTTGTGAGTTTGCTTGTTTCAGGTGTGTGTGTTTGTATCTGATTGTGTGCATGGAAATTGTGGGCACATTCATATAAATTAACAGAGGTGTTGATGTACCTTAGAGTACGTGCATGTAAATGTGCGCATGTGTATGCATGTAAGTAAGTGTGTGGTGTGTAAGCTTTCCTGTTATGAAAAAGCTAAACAGATGCTGTGCTTTAAAAATTAATAGCTTTGAACTGTTTCAAGTGTCAGAAGAAACAGGATAAATATAACCCTTTAGGAGCCTAACCTTACAGACTGAAAGAGCAGAATTTCCCCTTTGTGCTGTGTTTGCTGCTTCCCTCCTTCCCCAAGCACAGGATTTGGTAAAACACTTGCCTCTCCCTTCCTGCGCTATAGACACCACACACATGCACACCTTTCCGTGGCACGTGGAAGGGCGGGTAGGAGTTTGAAGTGCTAGGGTGCTTGTTTAGCTGTTGCTTTTAAAGCTGAGCCCATGAGTTACTCCCACTAGGATGCTTCAAGTAACTCATCCCATACAGTCAGATCTCTTTGGTTTCTGGCCCTTCTTTTACAGCAGTTGGCAACTCTGGTCATTTTGCATCCTCACTTTCGATAATATTTTGGACTGCTTTGCTTCAAAGGTGTGTATTTGCCAGCAAGGTCTTTTATCTTCCTCTTCTCTCTGCCTGGCCTGCGCTCCACAGTTCTACAGCTCTGCACAGCCCTTTGCTCTCTCTTCCCGATCTCATTAGTGGAATAGGGGGCAAGCTTTCCACAGAGCAGTTTCTTTCCTTTAAAGCTGCTGGTGGTGCTGCTGACATAAAGCCCTGGACTAGCAGGACCAGTTGGTTCAATGTGTTGCTAAGCTGCATGTACCTGGTTAATGCCATAGTGACTCAGGCTGCTGCCTATGCCCTGTGCTAGCCTCACAGTTGCCCGGGCGTTAAGCAGGAATCGCTTCCTCTACTTTCAGTTCCACACCTTTGTTTGTGCAGCCAGCCTTGCTGTTTGCCTTGTGGTTTGTTTCTTCTCCACTGCTGAGGTTTGTTCCAGTTTCTCAATCACCTGTTCTGACGTGATCCTGATTTCCTGCAGTATTTCTTCTCCTTCCCCAGGGAAAGGCATGTCTGCTCCTGGCATCTGTCCCCATCTCTCTTCCTAAATGCTGAGGCAACGAAGTCATTTAATTTTTTAGCAATGTCTATCTTTTCTGTCAATTAAGTCCCCTTCCCATCTCCTAGAGGCCCTGCTGTCTCCACAGTTGACCTCCTCTTCCTTACTGTGCTTCAGAAATGCCTTACTTAATACTGCTCTTCATCCCAACTTTTTCTGTCCTGTAGCTTAGTGTTACCACACCCTCTGATGATCCATAATTTTCCCTGCTCCTGCCCCATTCCTTAATTGCCTCAGGACACCCTCAGTCCTCTCATTTTTTCTTTTTACGCATTGCCCTTCCTTGTTTCTTTCCCATGGCCTTTATCATGTGCACTCCTGCTGTGTTTAGCACTAAGTGATGTGAGGAACCTTTGAGGAACCTTTGAGCAGATGGTACTTTATCTTTGAATGTTTCCCCTCTGAGTCCCCTTCTCTCCACTGCTTTTCCCTTTCAAGCTCTTCAGCTCTTCCAGGGTCCTCTAGAATATACATCAGAGAGTTCATTGCGCTGATTAGTCCGTTACTGGATCGTCCCCTTTTGCCAGTTACTGATGTGTCTATCTGTCAATACATTCTACGTACTGTCTGTTTGTATGTAGATACTATATGGCCTTTCTGGGTTTTTTTCCACCCTGCATGTCAGGAGTTTCCAAATTTGCTGTGTGGAATGCTCAGTGGTGGCCTGCAGAAAGGGATTAGGTGCATGTTGTTGTCTATTGCTTCTTGTGTTCTACTTTTAATTGCACTCAAAGGCAGGCTGAAAGCCCTGTTGTTTTGCATTGCGCTGTTTTTTGTTGTGAGCAAATGCTGTATCCATATGGAAGATAACGATTAGCAGGGCTGTTGCACATGGCAGAAGGTGTGCATACAGGGTCTAGATGGTCTGCCTGTAATGCTTCGTTCTGTTCTTGTTGATCCATCTTGCCTATCTTTCCATTGATCTGTCCATCTTATTGAAAGTTCCTATATAATCTTGCCATGATCATCTTCTATCTGTGTGGTTTACCATTAAATCCAATGGTTTGCAATCTCCTCTGTAGTGTGACACCATACTGTGATTAAAAGTCTTGAGACATAACTCGTACAAACAAAAGAATGCCTGAGCTTTTCGGAGGGCATATACCTAAAATTTAGAATCCGTATTTGACCGATGTTTATTTGTCGTCTTCTAGCATGGGAGATTTCTGAAACTTCTTGCTGTGGTACCTAAACTCACACATGAGAATTTTAGAATTGTATGATATTTAATTCAAGGAACCCGCCTTTCTTACTCTTCACCAAGTAAGCAACTTAGATAATGGAGATGAATTTCAAAGAGAAAGACAGACAGATTAGGGGTGTGCAAGACCCGAATGATCCTGCTCAAGAAGCATCTTTAAATAGTGACAAACATGAAGAGGAAGGTGGGAGGGTCACCATCCTTGGAGGGGATAAAGGAGATGGGGTTTAATGCCATAAACGTGTGGGATGAATACCTTGCTTATAGGCACTACTGTCAGGACACTGTTTCATTCTCTCTCCCTTTCTTTCTTCTGTCCTCCTCTCATATTTGCAGGTTCTCTGGCAGTCAGCACTGTGGACATATACACTGTGCATACCAGTATCGAGAACATTACCACTGCCTTGACCCAGAGTGCAACTACCAGGTAAAAGAATGGTAAAAAGTTACTAGCACAGCTTCCTGAATGTTAAAGGTTACAACCTAGGGGAGGTGTGTGTCCTCCTGTGCTTTCCTCCACCATGCAAACACATGCCTCTTCACTTTTCTGCTCTGAAAGAGGGCAAGATATATTTTGAACTTACTAGAATCCTATTTTGTTCCCATTTAACCCATAATCTAACACCATTTAACCAAACCCAGACCACTATAGCGAAGAGCTGAATATATATCAGCTGAAGTCAATGGGAACTACTCCAGATTTACATCAGTGAAACCAAGAGAATAAATTCTGTGGTACTGAAACTAGGGATTGCTGATCTGTTAGTCTGTCTCTCTCCCTCCTGCTGCCCGAGTGACATTGTAGCAGCAGTATCTGCAACAAAACACCCAATAAGACCAGCAGCACTCTGGGATTTGTGGGGAAAGCGTGGAGGCAGGAGCATGTGTGGTGCTGTAATTACTGGGAGAATTGCCAGGGTAGCGACGTCAAGCCAGCCGAGTCACGTGCTGTGTTTGTTTACCCTCTCCCCAGGTCTGTGAGTTTGACACTGCCATTTCTGTGGTCAGGCTGCATGTGTGTAAGTGGGAATCCCAGAGTTTGCCTCCACTGTACGAGAGACAACTTCAGCTCTACCCCAGGAGACCTTTGGGTCTCAAAGGAATGAGTCTGACCACAGTGTAGGAAGTTGATGTGGCTCTGCTGAGCTTGACTGTGGGTTTCTATTGATCAAAGGAGAGTTTGTCTCTGGGATGCATATAGTGGTCTTCCTAGCTCAGCATTTAGTAACTGAGATGAGTCTGTCCCAACTGTGACAGAGATACCTCTGCACCAGAAAGAGAGAAACACAAATGATGGAAAGACAGAAAACTTATTATTATGATTGGCCTCATGATTATTTCCTAAGGAGTCTGGGAGCTGCTTGCAAAGGAGCTGTCTGGTCTCGCAGGGAATAAGGATTTAGGCTGCTTTTTAAAATGCAAATTATTTTATGGCTGAGATATATTTTAGAATAAGTAACACTCTGTAATAAGTGGGCACAAATTAACGATGATTGGCAATAGCAATCCTATATGTACGCCCTGGGAAATCATACCTCCAGCCTCCAAGGGATTCCTATTGAAATCTATATCCATATATTCCCATGCCAATACCAACAAGATCGATCAGGATTGATATTATAGGAAGAAAGAGTGGAAGTGATAATCATTTGTTTCCTACAAGGGAGACTAGAAAAGTTGTTAAACATTAGAATACAGGCCTTTTCAATTACTCCTCAAAATAAATGGATATTGATTTCTTTTTGAAAAAAAATCAAGATTTACTTTCCCACCTTCACTGTTAAATATTGATGTCTGTGGGAAATAGAAATTAAAAGCTTCATTTTAAAGGCACTTAGCCTGCTCTGACAGTGGGGTACCCCTTCATTAGTTCAAGGTGGAGGATGAAAAGAATATTCTGGTCATACAGATTTAGCTCTAAGCTCTACTACCATCTTTTTCTGTGACTGGAAGAAAGTTCTGTGTCCCTGTTCTCCTAATAAAGCCATCCTACCTTGTAGGGGGAGGAAGAAGACTTACAATGGGAAGATACTATAAAAGAGCAGTCTTTTTCCCAATTTGTAGTCTGACATGAATGTGGCAGCCAGTGTCTTGCTAACCACTACAGTGAGTGATCTGGAAGCTTGGATACTCTCTTGTAGGCTGTTTAGTTCACTGTTTTTTTTTCTAACTATAGCAGTTCTTGAGATAGTAGCAGCTAAAATTATATTAGAAGAATTGCAGTCTTAAAGCTGCAGGGAGTGTGTTCTGGACATCACCGTGGTGTCATGTTTGCTCTGCAACTTTTCATGTGTATATACTTTCCCTTTACCAAGAAGATCCATGCACACAATTCTTTAATCTGACTCTCTTGGAGTGGTTACCGCTGTGCTTTAAACTCCTGGTACCATAAGTTTGTTAACAACAACAAAAAACAAATACCCTGCCCCCAGGATTACTCACCCACTCCCATCACGTGTGTCTCACTGTCTGTCTCTGTATCTCTCCAGAGATTCACTAGTAAACAGGATGTGATTCGGCATTACAACATGCACAAGAAACGTGATAATTCTCTCCAGCACGGCTTCATGCGCTTCAGCCCCTTGGATGACTGTAGCGTGTACTATCATGGCTGCCACCTGAATGGGAAAAGCACACACTACCACTGCATGCAGGTAACACCTGGACTGGGGAATAGGTGGTAGCACACAAGGCAAATGAAGAGCCATTTGTTTGAGCTGTGTCCTTTTTGGGGTGGACTGAAAGGATTCTTGAGTTCAGGCAGCCCAACACTTGCTTGTTAGAGAGCAAGGGGCTGTCCTGAGGCAAAGGGGTGACATTCATAGCCTCTTGCTCACTCCTGGTTCAGGCATCTCTTTGAAGAGTCTGCACCCTGTCCTCACTGCAGTTGCCCTGCCAAGTGTTGGGAAGGGTGAAGAGAAGCACCGTTCTCTGTGTTTAGAAGCCTTGTGCATGCAGTGAGGCAAAGCAGGTCTCAAGGTTTTCTCACAGTCTTGGACCTCACTTGTTCAAACAAGTCCCATTCTCTGAGATTCAGGGACCTCTGTGCGATGCCACTGCACTGCCTCTACCCAAATCTCATCTGTCACTCCCTTAAAATCAGCCTTTTCTACGACACATCTGCCCTTTAACACTGGGTTAATTTCCTCCATAATCAATTTCTAAAGTAATTAAACTTCAGTGCCACATATCTAGACTTAATACCTCTGGTTCTGCATCTCCTTCACCAGTGGTACTGGAGTTTACTTGTCAGTGGTCTGGGAGCTTTGTTTCAAGAGCCAGCCAGGCTTCAGCAGCAGCGTAACCAGAGTCGGAGTTATTGCATAGATGTAACTGTGGTGCCTTTACTGTTTTTAGACACGGACACACCAGATTGTTTGTGTTTTACCCTGATCATTCTTCAGATTAGAGGGTTTGACTTGTACTTGTTTCATTAGAATTGTGGCCTAAACCATTGCCATGAGAATGTGCTGTAGTTACAAAGAGAATAATCAGGCAACCCTTGGTGAAAGCTTTTCTGTACTGAAAACTCAGGTCTCACGTCCTGCCCTATCCCAACAGTTTAAGACGCCAGTTAAAGTCACAAGGCCTTAATCACATGCTTAAATGCTTTGCCGGGATAGACTTCAGCATATGTTTAACTTGAAGTCAGGTAAGCTTTCTGAAGTCAATGGGGCTTAAGCACATACTTAAATGTTAGGCATGCACTCAAGTACTGTCCTGAGTAGGGGTTGGTTTAAGCATGTGCTTACAACCTTTGATAAATTGGAAACTTCATGTGACTTTCTCTTGAGGACATTTTCTGTTTGCTTCCATAACATGGATTGTTTCATTTCTTCAATTGACCAGGATGGGATTTGTTTAATTTTTTTTTTTTTCTTTTGAGTACGAGTGTTTCACAGCTTTAAGTCACTCCAAGTTAGAATAGAGACCATCATTTACACAACTATATATGGGTAATTCCATCGTGTGCCCACTGCGTTCCAGTAAAATAATGACCATGTAAGCAGTGTCTTACAGGAAAGGTGTCTGAATATAAACTCCCGATTAAAGAAAATACTGCTTAAATGGCAGAATTTTTGCCATCCATCTAAAGGGTTTTTTTCTTTATGTCCATAATTGGTGTGGATAAAATTCAGTTAGTTGTTTATATAAACTGACATTTTTTTAGGCTTTAGCACCAAGAGCTGCATTGCAAATTATTCCTAAGGAGGTTTTTGTTTAATTCTTTTTTTTTAATGCCGCACAGGGTCTGTCTTTTTTCAAGGTGTCAGTGTGGGGAGAGAGAGAGGCTCTTTTATATTGGAAATAGCTGGAGATCTTTTTTTTTTTTTTTTTCTGGGTATTTGTCATGGGTTTTGTTATTGCCTGTTTGAATCAACCTGGGCTGAACTGAGAGGTGGTGTTTTCGTTCTCTTCACTTCTGAGATGGTGCAGGCATTGGCACATGTTGTGCTAGAGAAGAAAAGGGAAAAAAAAAAATCCTCCCTCAGCAGGGCTGAGGACGTTTTCAGATTCCAGTGTTTTTTTACTCAATATGGCAAAGTTGCCCGCTTTACCCAGAGGAAGGCAGGTTTTCAGCATTCCATCCTCGTCACACCATTCCCATTTGCTGCACAAGTTTAAAATTATTGAAGTGGTAGTCTTGAGCAGTGACAGGGAAAAAAAGTCACCAGTTTGCTAAGATCAGCTGTACATAGGGTTTATGCCTTGCTAGAATGAAACCTGTATATTACAAGCTCAAAACACTGGCCTCACATTGCACCACCCTGCCTTACCTCACAGCTCTAAAGAGGTAAATAACTCATTCACACTCAGTTTTGTATTTCCCAAATAGATGAAAGTCCTACTTTGTTCCATGTCGCTCCAAGATAACAAAAAGTAACAGCATCTGTCAGTGTTCTTTTCTCCTTAAGAGCAAGAACCCCTATTACTGCCTCCCTAAGCAGGCACGATTATCTGTAGCTGGTCTTCTATCCCTTTGCATCTTCCCCTTTTTTTCTTACTGTTTCATGCCCAGAGAGTTGTGGTTTGTTTTTTTTCCCCCCAACTGCTCTATCAGTCTTTAGATTGGGAATTAAAGTGATGACTTAATACTCCTAGAAAAAGTGCACAAATGGAACTATTAAATGTGTGTGTGCTGGTCATATGTTTATTATTGCTGGTAATGATGGTAGGCTGTTAAAACACTGTGCTGATGACTCCCTGTTTTGGCCTGGGGTAGGTTGGTTGTAACAAGGTCTATACAAGCACCTCTGATGTGATGACCCATGAGAACTTTCACAAAAAGAACACGCAGCTCATCAATGACGGGTTTCAGCGGTTCCGTGCCACGGAGGACTGCGGCACTGTGGAATGCCAGTTCTATGGGCAGAAAACCACTCACTTTCACTGCAGGTGAGACAGCAGGGAAGGGGAAGAATCCTGCCTCAAAGTTGCGTGATCTGTTTGCCTCCTTCTGCCAAGTCATATATTGAGGAGTATACACAGGGACTTGATTTTCCCTGCTGTGATCTTCTCTTGAGAGAACTCATGCTTCAGGGCAGATGTGATTTCCAGGGTTTTGCCACAGGCCACTCTGAAGGCAGGAGTGTGATCTGAGGAAAGGGTACCCACTAGAAAATACATCCTAGAGGAATTTGGGAAGAAATCACAGTGCTCTTCAGAGTTTGACTGAAGTAGGCCATTAATATACTGCTAATGGTGCTTCCATGCTAGTGTTCTCTCCAGCCAACAGTCAGCCAGCTCATCCCTTTCAGGGCCAGACTCTGCCTTCTGTACACAAATGCTCTTCTATTGATTTCTCATGTTCTCAGGAAGAGTAGGAAAGCATGGTTTGTACCTTAATCCCCGTTAGCTGCTGTTTCAATTGGAACTTTTAGTGGTGGGTGCCTGCATCCCCATGTTATTGTGGCTGTTCCTCAGAGTGGAGTGAACTTCCCAGCTCTTTCACATGGCAGCATTTTTGCTTGCCTTGCTGTCACAGATTAATCCACATAACCCTTTGCAACCAGGGCCATTGTCTCATACTGGCCCAGGTCCTTATCCCAGAGGGAGGCAGGTGACAGCAGTTGCATTGTGCTCCTAGCCCACACAGCCAACCACCCTCTCCTCCTCGATGCCCTTGCAGGCGACCTGGGTGTGCATTCACCTTCAAGAACAAGTGTGACATTGAGAAGCACAAGAGCTACCACATCAAAGATGATGCCTATGCCAAGGATGGCTTCAAGAAGTTCTACAAGTATGAGGAGTGCAAGTATGAGGGCTGTGTGTACAGCAAGGCCACCAACCACTTCCACTGCATAAGGGCAGGCTGTGGCTTCACCTTCACCTCCACCAGCCAGATGACCTCCCATAAACGCAAACATGAGCGTCGGCACATCCGGAGCTCAGGAGTGCTGGGCCTGCCTGCCTCTCTCCTGGGGTCCAAGGATAACGAGCAAGAGGAGTCCAGTAATGATGATCTTATTGACTTCTCCGCTATGAGCTCGAAGAACTCCAGCCTGAGTGCCTCCCCCACCAGTCAACAGTCTTCCGTTTCTCTCATAGTCCCAGCTGCACCCTCCTCTGCTGCTGAACTTGCTTCCTCACAGGCCAGCAAGTCTGCCAACAGCATGACACCAGCCACCAAGATCTCTGGCCTGCTCTCCCAGGCTCTTCCCAGCAATATACCCTTGGCCTTGGCACTCTCCAACTCAGCACTTCCTGGAACAGCTGGATCCTTCTTCCCCATCATCCCCAGTCGGGTCTCTACACCACTTCCTGCCAGCTCAGCTAATCTGATGACTGCTGGTTCTTCTGGCACCAATCCAACATCATCTGCTCCTACGGATTCCTCATCCCAGGCCATTTCAGGGTCTGGTGAGCCAACAGCTACTTCTTCTCCAGCTCCAGCGGCATCTATAATGGAAAGGATCTCTGCTAGCAAGGGATTAATCTCGCCTATGATGGCCCGGCTGGCAGCAGCTGCACTCAAGCCCTCTGTGGCACTTGAAGCAGGTGAGTTACCCTCATCAGTTATGCTAGTTAGTGGTGGGAGGAAGAGCAGTGCCTGATGACCTGGAGTGAATGGGAAGCCACCCAGTTGTGCATGGGACTGGAGGTGGGGAAGAGGTAGTGAAGGAACATAAATGGGAGAATAAATTTATTCGTGTCCGGTTAACCCTTGAAGAGGGCAGTCTTGGCATGGTTTCCTCTGGAGCCTGGCTACACCCATGTGGCCAGAAGAGAGGTGGGAAACACAAGCTTTGCCCACAAATGGAGTAGGCTTTTGCCAGATCTGAAGGAAGAGTGTTGCCATGTGTATTATTGCTTGGTTTGTTGTAGGCTGAAAAGAGAGAGGCACTGTACTTTACATTTCAATAGAAATTTCAAAAGAAAAAGCTTGGCCAATACTTGCAGGCCTTAGAGCAGTCTAAGCCCTGTTGTGTGGGCTGTACCCAGTTTTAGCTGGGCCTAGTGGTGTTGATCCTGTAGCTCATTGCCAGTTGTTTTTCTGATCTGGGGGTTGGTTCTGTGCTCCAGCTGTGTTGTCCCAGCTGTGGGTAGTGTTGGTACAGTCCACAAACTGGACCTTTCTCCTGTTCAGTTCTTGAAAGCTGTGTTTCTCTGTCACTGAAGCTCCCTGAGCTGCAAGGGGCAGCGGCACCGTGAGAGAGGTAAAAGATGGGAATGAGAAGTCCCCTGGGGCAGCCTGGAACTCTTCCTGCTGCCACCGAGACAGGTAGTTGCCTGTGCCCAGCCCTGCCCGCAGAGACGTGGGCCGCCCTCAAGGGCAGAGGGTGCCTTCACAATCTCTTGCTGCACGTGGTCAGCTCATGGTGGGCAGTGTGGGGTCTTGGAAGGGGAGTCTTTGCCTGGCAGCACACCATTGGCATTGGGCTGCCCAACAGCCTCCTTCCCCAGGGCATGGAACAGCCAGAGCAGGCTGCTGGCCCATGGGTATGAGTGCTGCTGATGTTCCCTTCTACCCCAGAGCAAACGAGGGAGTAGGACAAAGTGATCTGATTAAAGAGGGAGGGGAACTTTCACATACTTTTAAAATTATTATTTGAAAAATTGTTTCCTAAAGCAGAGAAAGGTCATTGAGGGAACTATTTTCCTTTATTTTTTAATAAAATGCCACTTGCTGTCTGAGAAGCAGCTCGCCGTCAGCTGTACTGCCGGAGGGTAAATTAATATTTTAGTCACTTGGGGATTGTGGAAAAAAGCTCTGCAGACATGTTCCTGTCAGCAACTTTTTTCCCTCCTTTTTTCTTTGCTGTTCTTCCTAATTTTTTCTTTAATTTGTTCTTTCATTTTCCCCCCTTTCCTTGTTCTTCCCTTCCTTTAATTTTTCTTTCATGGGCTCAGCACTAAACCTCCTCCCAAAAAAGAAGAATTGCCCCTTTTTGTGGGGACAACATGATGGCGGTGGCAAGAGGTCGCGCAGTTTGAACCAATCCCATTGGCTGTCACCTTTGATAGCCCTGACAGGGCAGATGCTCCTGCTGGGCACGCGCAGTGGTGGGACATCGCTGTCGCTACGGCAACGCTGGGATTGGGGACGAGAAAGGGGGCTTGACTAGCAGTCGAAAGCTGCCACATTGCCTCAGCATTAACAGAGTCTTTAATAAACGCTTAAGAGGCAGCCCCGCAAATTAGTTATGACAGTTTGTGCAGAGAATCAGGTCTCCCCCACGCTCCTTCCGCCCTTCTCCTTTAAAGGGCCCATAGCCTGGACAACTTTGACATAATTTTGCAATAATTATCACTTGAAGAATTTCCACGCTGGAGTGGACGTCAGAACCCATCATGTCAGCTTGGCAATAAATGCTGACCAGCAATCCCAGCACTTCCCTCCCCCCACACTTTGCTTTTTCCATTTATGCACCGGTGCTAGTGATTTAACTTACTTATTTGCCACTCTAACCTCATTTTAGACCTATGTTTTAAATTTAATTTTGCATTTAATTTTGGTGTCTTTTCTCAAGCAGGGAATGGACAACCAGCAGCTCCTGGACGGTTCAATCCAGTTCAGGTGAAGCAGGAACCTGTGGAGGCCATGGGATCATCATCTGCCACCAGTCAGGACTCCTTGCAGGAGCACAGCTTGGACCTGAGTGTCAAGGATCATGGGTGAGAGAAGTGCGCGGGCAGGCACACTTAGCTCTTTTCCAGCATCAAGCTCTGAGAAGCTTCCGCACCTGTAATATGAGAGGACACAACATGTCGATGAAAGGCAACTTCATGTCCGAGTTGGACGCCCCCAAACTAGAGGCAGGGAGGCTCTCTCTACTGCCCCTCAAGTGTATGTTCTCCAGGTGTTTTTTTAGGCTCACAAGCACCTACTGACTCTTTGACAAGAGCCCCACCTCTTGTGCTGCCCTCTGAGCTGCTAGCAAAGCTCCTACTTTCACTTAGATATTCCTGCCATTGTCATCAAGAGCTGATCGAAGGCTGCTCCAATGCCACACTTGAGCACGCTTTTAGCAGGAGCATTTGCACTGATGTAATAGGGCATTGAATCAGGTCTGAGAGAGGCACCTTCCAGAGAAATTGGACACACAAAACAAGTGGGTGTCAGGCTAACTCTGGCCTGGGTCTGGCATGTGCTAATCTATGGTTATGACAATGAATCTTTGCACTTGTGCAGATGTGAATGCACATACCTCAAATTGGCGTGTGTTCCATTTGTCCAGCATCTCTACTGAGAATAGGAGTGTTTGGGGGTTGTCCTGTGTGGAAAAACTGCAGAGGAACTGGTACTGGGGATAAGTGAGCCCACTCCACTTTGACCTTTGTATACATTTCTTTCCATACTTGGTTTAAACAAGCCTCAGTTTGGGACTCCAGCACTTGGTGGTCAACTAGAACTATTACTGCTGCATATGAAATAGTAAGGTTGCTTTTCAGCATGCTTAGCTGTGGCCATAAGGATTGCTCCCTTGCCTTCTCTGCTGCCGAGAGGGCCTGTGTCCCTGGCAGTAAGAGTCTCGGTCAACCCCCCTGGTTCTGTGGCTTATTTTTGAAAGTTCTGATGGAACGGAGGAGTAGAACATGAGGTGGGTTGTGAGTCAGCTAATAAAAAAGTGTGATGGTGGGGACACTGAGAAAGAGGTCTGGACTGTTTAATAGCTGGAAGAACTATATTCTGCAGACCTGGGACCCTCTTTCTCTCTATCTTGGTTATCACAAGTAAAAGAGTTTGGCTTGCCCAGGGGAGGGTGGGCATCATTCTCTTCCTCCGGATGTAGCAGGTGAGGAGTGAGGCAGCTTGAAGGGAGAAGGATTAATCTCAGTGCTCACAGTCCCTGTGCACATCTTAACTAAACCCTGTTGGTTTGTGTGTTCCAGTAATGAATCAAATGGCCACACAGTCTCGGCAAATTCATCTCTTTTATCCTCGCTTATGAATAAGGTAAGAGCCATCCATCAAACGCCTTTCATTCCCCCCACCAAGAGAAATTAAAGCTGCGATGGCGGGGAGGGGGGGAAGAGATGCGTTTGTTTTTTAATGTTTTGCCTCTAATAAGATGAGTTTGTACCATTTAAATTTTGAGACCATTTTTCATCGGGTATAATTTCAGAGCCACTGCTTACGAATTAATTTAATGAACTGGCTGAAGAAATATATTGCAGCCTCTGACACCTTTTTTTTTTTTTTCCCCATCCTTTCTAGACAGAGGAGGGCTCTGAAAGATTCCCCCCCCCGCCCCTTCCTTCCCATTTTTATTTCCAGAACCTGGCAACTTCTCTCTCGCTCTCTTTTTATAGTTACTCATTTTGTTTATTTACTTAAAAACATTTTCTTTCATTGTGGGAGGGGGAGGAGAATAATTTGTTTTTATGAAAGCGAAGGAGAAAAAAAAAATTAAAAGTTTTGAGCCAAAATCATCAATTTCTGTCTTTCTGGTGTGAGTAATGGTGTCCAACAGAGCCCCCTTTACCATATTCGAGAATATTTATTTTAGATAATGCACGGTTTCTTTTTCCTTACTTTTTCCTTAAATTATACATCATCTCAAATATATATTTCCCTTTCACATGATAAATTCTACTGTACCAAGATTAATTTTGCTGTTGTATACAACTGCAGTAGAGATCAGGGCAGCCTTTGAGCCATGCTTTAATGTTCTACTGTGTGATAGGTTTTACAGGCATAACTATTGCCATCCCCGTGGCTCTGGGCGTTACATGCATCAAGGCCATATAGCCCTCAAGAGAGGGCAAAGTGACTTTGCCTGGGATTCTCTTGCCTCCTTTCTCTCTTTTTTAATCACTCTTTTTTTCCCTGTATTGTTTAATTTCTGTGTTTATCCTTACGCCACTTTTCTCCTCCATTGGGTGGCTGTTACACTGGGTTTTTGATGTTCCCTTTTAAACTTAATTTCTTATTTGTTCCTGTGTATTGTCCCTTTAGCAATTCCAAATATGCAGCTCTTTCTCTAGTGAGTAAATGTATTTAGTAAGTCTGCTGTCTGGGGTCCTGAGTCATTCTGAAGGCCCCAGTTCAGAGAAATTCCATTTCAATAGATACTTCACTTGAAAATCTCCAGGAGAATGGGAGATTTAAGCATATGCTTAGAAATAAGCATTTGTGTGCAGCTCTGCGTAAGATTCTTTATGTTGTGCAAAATAAGTGTAGCACAGGTACAAAATAAGAATTCTTCAGGTTTGTTCTTTTTTAACGAAGGAATGGGATTAACTGTTGACATAAACTAGCAAAGAACAGAGCCCACTGATTTGAAGGAGCCTATTCCAAGACGAAGGATTGCAGAATCAAGCTCAGTGTGCTCAGGAATACATCATGCTTGCTTCTTCCTCTTGCTGCACACAATTTCTGTTCCTGGAGGAATCCTTCATTATTTGTGTAGGAAAAAGAACTCTTTACAGAAATTGAATGCCCAACAAACACCAATGGAAAAAGACAACCTGAATTTCTGACTCCAGCCATGAAGAGTTCCAGTCTCCCCATAGCAGCAGCAGCTTTACCTTCAGGGGGCATTAAGAGAGCCTCAAATAGCCAGGGTTCCTGTAGTGTATTGCAGTTTATTTAGGGGGGCTGTCAGGTTTAATTAACTGATATTTATAAAGGGCTTTGAGATCCTCAAGTGGGTGGAGTTTATAATGCAAGTATTGGGCCCAATCCTGCATTTTACTCATGCTGTGAGTTTCCCTGTTTTTACTGGAGGTAATTGAGAGCACAACAAAGCAAGAAAGGGTCTGGGAAATTGTGCATTTATTATGAAAGAAAATTTTCTCTCCAAGCACTCTTGAGTAACTTATTTTTTTTTCTGTCCTACACTTCGTAAGCCTGTAGTTCTAAACCTTCTCTGTGTAGAATCTAATGGAGGCCTTTCACACAAGGCACATCGTGAGTCCCAAGTCCTGCTTTATGGAGGATATGTCCATTTAGCACAGAAAGTGACATAATTTCTCTATTGAAGTTAGTAAGAATTTTCCAGGAACTTAAATGGAGCTAGAATTTTTCCCCAGCTGAATGAGATTTCCCCCCGCCACCCCCAAACATACCCGATAGTCACTTCAAAGGACACATCCTCATGGCTGGGATGATTCTAAATGAACTAGAGCTTACCTGTTCTTATCACTAGCTCTGTACTAAGAGACCAGCATTTTGTATTAATATTGAAGCCTGCCCACCTTTTACATACTCAAGTAAGATATGTCTCTCTTCACCTCAGTTTCCCCGTGTTTAAAATAGACATGCTTCATTACTTTACACAAAAGCCATGAATATTAGATGGGCACCCAAGTACTTTGTGATAATTGGGTGGAGGATGCAGAAGAGTGTTACCAAGTTTTGCTGATGCAGTTGAGGCAGCCTGTGCAGACTTCTTGTTTTCTCTATTAATCTTTGAAGATACAGGTTTCTGTGAGACAGTCCTGAGGGTATCCAGACGTGGCAGGTCCATGGCTGTGTGCTGGGCTTGATGCAGTGTCTATGTTCTTGTTCCAGATGTCCAAGACCAGTGCCAGCCTTGGCAACCTGCGGAACATTAAGACAGAAGGAGATGGCAGCCAGGCTGGGGCTGGAGAGCCAACACAGTACCTGGGCAAGGCAGTGAAGGCACTTGTCCAGGAGAAGCTCTCTGAGCCATGGAAGATGTACCTGCGCCGGTAAGGAGAGCACAGAACTGGGAATAGAGGAAAAAAAAAACTACTTCTTTTGCAAAGTGTCTGGCTCGTTAGTTCACACTTGAATGCAGAGTTCCTTTGAATTTAAAGGCCTAATTCTGTGATACGCTGATCACCTTCCGGAGTGCTTTTAGTCCTCAGTCCCGGCTGGCTGCAGTAGTTGTTAATGTCCTATAAGAAATACCTGTCCACACAGAATTATTTTGCAAAGGGATCTTGAGAGGCAACTACAAGCACGGATTTTCACATAGTACTGTTAGCCTAGACTTCCTCTTGGGCTCCTCTTTATGTCCCCAGTCTGCAAGTCCAGGGGACCCACTGCAGCTTGCTCTTAGCACTGAACGTCTGTTGGACCATGTTCAGTTACTACGCACAGATCACAGAAGCCTTAAAATGCTTGCTGTGGCATTTCCTCTGATCATAGGAGCAGGCCACTGAAACAAAATAAGGAGTATAAGGGGTATGGGAACTGGGGTGGTTTCTGCTGGTTTTGTTGTAGACGAGGAGGCTTGAAAGGAAAATGGAACAGATACAAAACTCACCCACACACAGACACATGCACATACATGCCCAGCCAGACACATGCTTTGAGCATACACAGATACACCCAGGCAGACACATGGGTTTGTGCTCTGACACAAGATAGTTGCCTCCAAATGCCTGTGGACACTTTGTAAATCACAGACTTCAACGGAGAAGACTAGAAAGTCTTCAAGTCCATCTGCCCCTGGCCAGTGTGAGATCCTTCCCTGCAGTCTATTTGTATTTTGTCCAGCCTAGTTTTAATTATGCCAAACAGTGTGACTATTTTCTTGTCTCTGAGAGCATTTTTCTACCACCTAATATGTTTAACTGTCATGATTTTTTTCATGGTATGCTGTCTGAATTTCCCTTTTTGTAATTTTGTTGCAGTTCTCCTGGTTAGATCCCCTTGAACCACAGCAGATAGTTCCTCTCCGCAATTGGGAGTTCACCCCCTTCAGATAGTCACAGACTTTTAGCATACCATTTAACCAAGCTTATTTACTTCTTTTAATCTGGCTTTGTAAACTAGTCACCTCAGCCTGCTGAGCATGTTGTTGCTGGTGTCGTTCTTGCTGTTCCCTGAATGGGTGCAGAATTGGGCTGCCATTCCTGTGTCAACACCAGATGTAACAAGCTTCCTGCCCCCATATATGCAGCTCACAATTGTGCTACCTTGCTTGCATCTATACTGCATAATGCATACGTATCATGTTTACCATCCACTGTCACACAGGATTGCTTTTAATGTTGCTGTCATGAGTCCCCATGTATAAAAATACACCCCCAAACCTGCAGATGTATTAGCTGTATGTTTCCAAATAATGACACTCTCTATTCTTCTCCCTTGCCTTCCAAGGCCTCTCTGTGTTGTCTCCTCTTGCACCGGTGTTGCTAACTCCTTCCAGTTCAGTATCTTCTGTGAATTTCATTAACATGCTGTTTACTCCTTCTCCTAGATTACTAATGAAGATGTTAAATAAGCTCAGACCTAACCAAAGTCATCTTTGCAGCATTCACAAGATATCTCCTCCCAGCTCAGTATGTTGCTGTTTGTCATTAGCCTTTGTTTACGGTCCTTCAGCCAGTTTTCAATCCATGAGGTAGCGTTCACATCCAGGCCAATTTGAATTAATTCTAAGCATATGCGAGACTGTATCAAAATGCTTTACTAAAACCCAAATATATTGCATCCCTTCATCCACTAATTTTGTAATTCTATCAAAAAAAGCAATTAAATTTGTCTGGCAAGATTTATTCTTTATAATCCTGATGCTGTTTATTGCTCATGGTTCCTTTATCCTCTAGATGTTTAATGATTTTCTCCTCCCTCTTAATATTTGTTCCATTACTTTACTGGAAGGAGAAGTTAAGACTAGAGGTATGATAATTGCCGAAGATCACTTGTCGTCTTTTCTCCTGAAAGAATCAGTACCTAGGTTTTTAATTTTTTTTTTCCAATTTCCTAGTACCTCCTGCTTCTCTATGGCTTAAAAAATAGCAAATAGTAATGCAATCAGTTTGTGAGTTAATTTCAATTGCACTTCAGGACATACATCATCCAGACTGGCTGATGTGTGCATATGTATATTTTCCAACCAGTCCCTTTATCTGCTCTTTTAGGAAGTCTTCATTTTATCCCTAATTGTCTGCTTTGTCTTTAGTTTTCCTATTCAAATTTTATAAGGCAGCCATTTTTGACTCATCACCTCCCATTTTTATTGGACCTTCTTTCTAAGTACAATACCTCTTGTCTCTGATAAAACAACCCCTTTAGCTTGCAGTACCTTAGTTTCTTAATTCTTACCACACCTTTACTTTCCTTTATCTTCTCCCTGCAAGCCTTAACTGACTGCATGTATTCTATATCCACTGACCTTCCTTCTCCAGTACAAGTTTTTTTTTCTTTTTCCTTTACCTTCAAATTGTTAAGAGGTCCCTCCTGGGACCACACAGCCTGCTGTTTGTTTCTTGCTTTCCTGCTCATCAGAGCAATTGTAGTTTGTTGTATCTTAATTATGCAAGATTCTCCTGTTAAGTTTCAAATCCTTCCTGCCAGTGTTTTCTACTTGATTTCTCCAATCCCTGTGATTCTGGAGTTTCCTGAAATCACATATGTTTGTGCTACTCAATTTATTAAGTCCAGAGAACTTCAGCAGTGGATGAGCAGTGAAACCACACTTAACTTGTTTTTGCCCTCTTGACCATTTCCTCCAAGATGATGAGGCATATCTTAGATGATGACTTTTGCTCTGTTATTTGCATTGCAGCATTGTTTCTTCTGTACTTCAGGGATTGTGCTTTTCAGTATTTATGTATGCATACTAGGCTGTAATTGCTATATAGGTGCTACTTTGTGTCTTCAATCTATGTGATACCCTGTTGTTTCAAGGTGGGGGGTGGGCAGACTCTGGATCTGGATTTCCTTGAACTGTTTCTTCCCTTTCAGTACTACCAGTAAATTGAAACAGGAAAAAAAAAAAGCTGTAACGTTTTGGCAGTATTCTCTTGGTCTGGCTTTCCTTAATTTACTAACCTTTGATCGTTCCTCAGAGCCTTGGCTTTTGTACATGGGTGCTCACTAATGACTTTCACCTTTTGTTTCAGAGTAGTTCTGTATTTTGCTCCCACTAAAAGTGAATGGGATTCAATTGGAGAGAAATTAGGTTCTTGTTCTGCATGTTCAGATCTATATAACAGGCAATAATCAAGCAACAATGCCAGCAATGCTGTTTGTGCAGCAGGGACAGTGACGTTAGAAAACAGAATGGTAGTAGAGTTGAAAAACAAAGAAACTATGTCTGTTCCAACACCGCGTCTTTTCCAGTGCCTTCCGTAAGATGCATGCTTATCTGCTTTGGCCAGGTTTGGTACCAAGGATTTCTGCGATGCGCAGTGTGACTTTCTCCATAAGGTGCATTTCCATTGTGTCGTAGAGGAATGTGGTGCCCTCTTCAGCACCCTGGATGGAGCCATCAAGCATGCCAAGTAAGTAGGAGAGTGCGAGTCTTGGGAAAGCTTGAGAAAACTACAACACACACACTGCAGGACGAGAGAGACCTTACTGAGTAACTCTATTCAAGAGCAGGAACGTGGGCAGTCTTGAGGGCAGCAGTCTGGGCATCCATATGCTTCCTGTGTAAATGTGCTCAGCTAAAATTTTTGCAGGACGCTATGGCCTCTTTAATTTTGTTTCACAATAAATGCGCTCAACTTGTGAAAAAGAGGTGCCTCACAGTGTTGGCAAGGATGAGAATTGGCCATTTGTGTTCTTCTATAGCCTACTTGACAGACAGTGTGTTCAAGGAGACCCGTATTTCTCACAGCACACAAAGAAGTAAGAAAATATGGGAGGCAGAGGATCCTGTAAACCCAGCTTGTATCACTGGATACAGATGTTTTGTGGAGTAGACCGCTCCCCATCAGTGCAGTGTAGAAAGCATTTTATTGTTCTTTGTCTTGTCATGACAAATCTCTTTTTACAAGTTTTCCCCAGCTTATATGGTTTTGTTTAAGAGGTTCACATCGTGTGACTAAGGATCTTGAAATGAAGGAGTCAAACTGTCCAGCCCAACAGCAACCTCCTCCTCACCTTGCCATTGCTATATAGTAAACCTTTTCTCATTTCACATAATTTTGGAAAGTAGTAGACAGCCAGAGTTTGGTAGCCAGAACTCTAGGCTAGATAATACGGCCTGTATTACAGAGGCTGTACAGCATGCTCAGAACTCCGGGTGAGTGAAGAATGAATGCCACTGTTACAGTGAGGGGACTAGCAAAGGAAGGGTGGGATATTGGAAATTTTCCCTCTTGCAGATTTCTGTAGAGCATAATCTACAGTTCAGAACCATGCCAAGTTCCTTTTAAAGACAATGGAAGATTTGCCTGAGTAAAAAATGAATAAGGCCTTCAGCAGCTGGCCACATGACTGATTCTGAAGCAGTTTAAAGGGAAGGAGATGTTGCAAATTTTAAGACAGAAAGATCTGTTAGCACAGTTGGTCTCTGGTGTTGGAGAGTTCCCTGTAGTTCACTACTATGAACCACTGGCTTCTCACGACAGCCACGGGGAACTGCCCTCGTGGGTATAGTGATCTTACTGACTGCATCAATTCTTGCATCTCTCTGATTTCAACATGTTACTACACCCTTCTGTCTCCAGCCCTCTTAATGAATTCCCTTCTCTTCATGGACAGTCTAGGAGGCCCTAAATCTTTCCACAAAGTTTGCAGAGCCCTTTTTAGGATTTAACCTCAGCTAACAAATGTTCAGGATAAATGTTTTTAGGATTTAACCTCAGCAAACAAATGTTTGCAGACTCCTGCCACATTCTTGTTGATGTTTAATCAAGTTATATGCAATGGTCAAGAATTGACATCTGAATTACACTGTCTTTTTGCAGTTTTCACTTCCGAACTGAGGGTGGAACTGTGAAAAGCAACTCTGAGTCTCCATTCTCAACTACTACTGAGAGTAAGTCTTCACTGGCTCCTTCATCACCATCTGCTACTTCTGTCAGCATGGCAAATGCTCCTGCCCTCGACGTGCCCACTCCAAGTCCAGCTACTGTGCCCTCTGCCCCCACACTGCTCGCTTGGAAGCAGCTGGCTTCAACCATACCCCAGATGCCTCAGATCCCAGCATCAGTGCCTAACCTGGCAACTTCACCCTTGGCAACGACTTCCCTGGAGAACGCCAAGCCTCAGGTCAAACCCGGATTTCTCCAGTTCCAGGAGAAGTAAGTTGTAGATGCTGCTTGCCTCCTTATGTCCTCTCCAGCCTTGCAATCCCCTCTTTATCGCTCTTCAGAGCTGTAGTACTACATCTGTATTCACCCACTGAGAGGCCTTCTGTTTGGAAAGTACTCTGGGCTTTATTTCACAGAAAATTTACTTCTATAAAGTCTAGAAAATACCTTCAGTTATCCTAGGAAAAAACTAGGATTTTCAAGTACATTTGGGAGCACTTCTAGGTATAAGTTTAGAGGAGGAATAAACTTGCTGACATATCGCTGAACCCTTTTTTATACCTCATGAGAGGTGTACAGAAGTACATGTGTCTTGCAGTATTTTTGACCCTGAAGGCTACAGAGGAAGCATCTTTAAAGTTTTCGGCATGACCCCTGACTAGCCTGCTTCCAGATCTTGCTGCAAGTCTGAGTCTTACCCTGAGTTTCTGTAGCTGAGCAAAAATCAGTGGGCCACTGAGTGCTCAGGCATGCAAAGGTGAGGTGTTACTGCAACAAAGTACAGAGAACCAAGAGCAGATGTTTACAGCTTGCTGAAAAGGAAGCTTGCTGGATTTCTCTTGGGTTTGTCCCCAGTAAGCTCTGTGGCCTGTTCCTAGGAATGCCATCTGTAAGTGTATAATGCAGCTACTTTTTTTTTTTCCAGTGAAGAAGACTGGGGGTCAGATAGTGGAGGGGGCCACAATTGCTTGGACTGTGCCTTACCCTTACCTGGAGTGGGGGTCTCAGCAGCTCAAGGAGTAGGGAGCAATTCTGTCTCACTTCAGATTTGTCAGTTTTGCTGTCCTGGCTGAACTTACGTACAAGTATAGTAAGTCTCCTTAAATCCTGTGCCTCTGGTTTTGTAGTGGTAGTTTACAAAGCAATTCACAAGGGAAGTGTTTTGTAGAACATAACATACCTTGCTGAATGTTTTCTAAAAATGTTGAAGAAGTTTCACAGTGTTGCTGTGATGGTTGTGTTATTTCTGTTACGTAGACAGAAGGAGGCACAGAAGTTACGTGGTTTACAGGCGAACACAGGAGTCCAGCATTAGATTAGGCGTTACAGCTTAGTTATTCAGGCTGGTGGATCTGGGTCATATACTGACAGCTATTTGTCTGCTTTCAAAGAAGTGTATTAATTCTATTTCATGTATCTGAGTAGGTATCACTGGGTACAGTGCCTGGAATCCAAGAGATCAATGTTCAGCTAACTCCGATCTGACCTCTGTTTGTGTAGCCAGAAATCCATGGAATGGGAGGGGGGAGTAAGGTACCAAAACCATTTAGCTGATTAAATCGGAGACTGCCAGTCTTTTCTAATCAGGGGAAGCCCTGGCATCTTGCAGTGTGCATGCCCAAGAGTTTCATTTCAGTTACACAAAATTGAGATGGGAGAAACTATCTGAATCCATTGAGGTAAGTACAGGCAGAAAGGAAGAAACAGCATCTATCCAGATCTTGAGAGCTTTAAATTGCAATTGTGGCTCTCAAAGACTACAGAACCCACCATGCATTGCTGTATTTTAATAATCTTAATCAAGAAAGTGCACTAGCTTGGTGGTATTGCAGTGGTGTTGCCAGCATCGATTTTACTAAAGAGGAAGGTGGCTATGGGAAATCTGTAGGCCGTGTTTGGAACAGAGGCTTCAGCTGGGCTCCCCTTGAATTAAATTTTGGCAAAGAAACAAATGTGTGAAATGAGTGAAGGTGATGATTTGGTTTTGGATGTATTCCAGTGATCCCTGCCTGGCAACGGACTGCAAGTATGCCAACAAATTCCACTTCCACTGTCTCTTTGGGAACTGCAAGTATGTGTGCAAAACCTCTGGCAAAGCAGAGTCCCACTGCCTGGACCACATCAACCCCAACAATAATTTGGTGAATGTGCGAGACCAGTTTGCTTACTATTCGCTGCAGTGTCTCTGTCCGAACCAGGTAAGTGCGATTCAAAAGCAGTGTTCTAGCAAGTATGTGTGCGGGGGAAGGAGAATGGGAAAGAGCGAGTAGACTAGGAAGTGAGACTGAGACTTTCATTCCTGGTCTAACTACAGAACCATGCAAGGGTCTTAATTACGTGGTCTAGCAAAATGTTTGGTTTCCATCAAATTGAAAATTGCAGTGCTTTTATCTTTCTTTGACTTGGGTGAAGTGGACAGATCATTCTAGTTGCCTTAAGGGACACAATTTCAGGGAAAGCCACAAGTTAGGTTTGGGATATTTCAATGTGGAATAGCGCAATACAGAATACATGACAGCAATATAAAATGCACAAGAGGGAACAAGGTTGCATTGCGGCTTGTGGAAGATTAAAATGGATGTGATCTAGAGTATCAGTTCAGGCCTCTCGTGTCTCAGAGGGACAGTATTAGTAGCAGGCAGATGAGAGTGCATTTGTTCTTGGTATGCTTGATATGCAAATCTGCCTGTTTGCTCCTCTCTAGCACTGTGAATTCAGGATGCGAGGGCATTACCACTGTCTTCGTCCTGGCTGCTACTTTGTGACTAATATCACCACCAAGCTGCCCTGGCATGTGAAAAAACATGAGAAGGCAGAGAGAAGGGCAGCCAATGGCTTCAAGTATTTTACCAAGAGAGAAGAGTGTGGCAGACTAGGTGAGTTTCCTTCTCTTTCCCCTGTCACCTTTCTCATGTGGTCTGTCCCATATCCAGGCTAAGAATGACATGAGTTAGAGCCTGCGAGTTATGCGTAAGATGTATTTGGGCATTAAATCACTAAACGAGAAAAGGAACAAAACAGAAAGCAGTTCCTGATCTGTCTGAGTGGAAGCATGTTTTCCCAAATAGACACAAGTTAAATGGATGGAAACTGTAATATAGAGGATTTTGTATATATTTGTCTGGAGATACAGCTTCCCCTTTGTTTTTGCTTTAATTGTCAAGGCCTTTTTTTTTTGTTTGTTTTTTTCGTACTTTGTAGTCTTTTGGGCTTACTGCTTGTCTTGGGTGGAGGTTAAGGGTGCTCTTGGGAGTTAAAAAGCAAACACAGGGGAAATGCCTGCTCTGATGGAGTGCCTTCTGTGAAGGTCTTCCTGTATCAAGGAAGTTGCTGCTTTGCCTGATACCAGGCAGCTTCAAATGAAACTTTTTTTTAAGCCATTGCCAGTGTGGCATATTGAAAGTCAAAGGGCAAATAATTGGAGATAGAGGTATGGAGAAGAGCATTCAATAAACTACTCCCTTCTTCTCCGAAGCCATTCTCCGAAGCCATTTGCGAGCAGCAGGGAATACAGCATTGTGTCTTAGTGCCAGCCTCCCACCAGAGCATGGCCTAAGGAAACACCTGAGATGTGGCACAGCCTCAGACTGTGGCTTGCCCACTTGCCAAAACTATTAGCAGCACTGCAGTAGTTATTAAATCTAAGTGCCTCAAGTGTAAAACTGGTAAAACAAATGCACAACAACAGCAAGTAGAATGTGTTCCCAGGGAGGTATCTAGAGCTGAAATCCAGAGCTCTGAGCTGGGGGGAATCCTTAAAGGTAGCTCCAGCAGATCCTGAACTGCCTGGGATTCACTTAACCCTTCTAGTTGTGTTCTGGCTTAACAGAACCAGACTTCCCTATCGCTCCTGGTTGGAACAAAGGCTGAAACAAAACCAGGGTTCGGAATAACACTCCCAGGTGCTGTTTTCTCCCATTGCAAGGGAACGGCCGCAATGACCAGAAGCAAACTTTTCGGCTTTGAATACATCAAGAATTTATACCCAAGTGGTGGCTTGTTTGTGGTAACCAGGGTAATGAGTGTCAACATGCCACAGCCACTACTTACCTATGTCTCATTTACACATGTCAGTAGATTCAGCAGTTGCTGTTATTTACTCAACTTTAGGTGTTTCAGGTGATAGCAGGGGCTAGACAAAGCAGGACAATGATATATGACACCCAGCCTACACGGATGCCCTAGCAACAGGCGAGCCTTCACCTGCCCTTTGCTGATACTGTTTCAGTCCCGCCAGCACTGTTTGTTCTCCATCCCAAAGAACAGCACAACGTGATGGGGAGGGCAGATGAGGTGGGGCTGTGGGGGAGTGCAATACCTAAACAAACATAAACTTGGCATGCACATAAAACGCTATCTGTGAGCTAAAGATGGCCTGGGTGATTCAGGAGCTGTTTGGCAGCGAGGCATCTACAGGCTGTGCATGTGTCAGCAGTGTTTATTTTTGGGAGTGATGGGGTACATGCATCCAGCAATATGTACATATGCCTATAGGTTGGGCTTGCTGTGCAGTAAACGTACGTTTAGACAGCATTCTGCCTTTGCCTATGCAGATACAGGCAGCATGATGGAATGGTGTAGCTGGATGTGTTCGTGTAGGTGTATATGGTTATACCAACATGTAAATGCATGTCTACTTCCCTATACATCTCTGTGCTTTTTATGTTGCCTATGCGTATATAGCAGGTGCAGAAAGCACTGACCTTCTTTAAGGGCTGTGAGTGTTTCTGAAGCAACACACACGATTGATTTTTTTATATGTATGTTTGTGTGTGTATAAATATATACACGTGTGTTTGGCTAGGGAGGGGGAGAGAGATGAAAAATATGCATGTATGTAAGTGAAGGTGGATTGGGGTGGACAGATGATAGATAGATGAGTCAAACTGAGCCTGGCAGTAGGTCTGTACCTCTTATGTGTATACAGGTATGGCCAAGGGAAGATGCAGAACAGACAGAACCTGATCATTGATATAAAGCTGTGCTTTAACTGCAATGAGACATTATTTATCAGCTATAGAATGTAGCTGTTTAGGATTGTCTGTTAATGAGATACACAAACTCCCAGCATGCATGGCCACTATCCATGAGGAGCAAAATGTGTCAAGTGCTGTACAGAACCTGTATAAGTTGCTTGTTGTTTAGTAGCTGTCCATGTTACACAACAAATTTGGAGTGGCAATAAACACTTCCTGGCTCATTCCTCTCTGACCAGAGAGCATACACTGTCCAGAGCTAGAGCTTTTAAGAGACTGCTTTTCTGAGAGCACAGTTAAAGGGAAAAAAAAAAGAGTGAAAGAACTTCTCATTTCTAACCTAATTATGAGCATGTGTTTTTTGATTGTAACTTCTATGATACAGTTAAATGTCTTGGTTTTGTTCTCTTTGTAAAGGAAAAGGCACTAGCTAAATCTGGAGACCATTAGGCACTACTAGATGTAATGGTAATGTTCCTTTCTTTATAACAAAATGAAGAGGGATGGGACTAGTCAGCATCTCAGGCTCACTTCTTAAGTCTATGTACACTGTAATCCTCTCTTGCAGTTGCTCAGCAGGCAAAAGATCATGTGTTTTTTCCTTCAGGACTGTTCCTGAAGAACCCGTGACCACTGATAATCTTCAATCCACCAGCAATCCATGTAGGAGCAGCCTTGTTCCATCTCCAGATCATCTTCCCTCCGGTCCCGTTCCCTCTTGGTACCTTTCATGTACTACATACCATGGTTTTGTGTCTGTAGGTTGCAAATACAACCAGGTGAACAGCCACTTCCACTGCATTCGAGAGGGCTGCCAGTTCTCCTTCCTGCTCAAGCACCAAATGACATCCCACGCCAGAAAGCACATGAGAAGGATGCTGGGGAAGAACTTCGATCGTGTTCCTACTCAGGTGACTTGCTGGTTAAGTTGTAGATCTGTTTGTAGTGTTGGTCCCTTTGGTTGCTTGCTGCAGAACTACTTTAGTGCCAAGACACTTGTACTCAAACTCTTAAGGATATATGTGTGCATTGGGGGATGCAGCAGGATATGCAAGTTCACCCAAGCTAGCTTTACCTGGTTGGACTTATACAATATGAGTAAAGATGATGAAGCATACGCATCAAAGCATTGCTTAGTGTAAACAGCTTTTCCTAGTGAATGATGGAGGAAAAAAATGGAGAAGAATAACACTAAAATACTCACATTTACAACACGCACTTCCTCCCTGCTCTCTCAATATACACCAATTGGCTTATTAAAATTAAAGTGCTTAGGATGTGGAAGAATTGAACATGCTGGTTAAAGCAAACGTTTCCTGTTGCACATAAAGAATCATTTGCTGCTTCCACCTAGGATGGGAGAAATACCAGTCTCAGAATGTCTCTTCCCTTATTGATTTCGAGTTAGTTTGGGGCACTCCTTGTCCCCTCTGAGGAAGTAGCAGAGTGATGCAGTTGCTTCTTCTCTAACAACTGGGAGCAAGTGGCAGATGAGGTTTGTCTATTTCACAAATAAATTGAAGAGTTTCAACTGCAGCACTGAGCTGCTGCTTGGAATGGCAGCAGCCCTGCAACCTCATGTTTGTTCTTATTCCTGCTTGCTTTAACTTCCATTGACTTGGAGAGGAAACAAGCTAGCTTTATTTCAATGCCTGTGACTGATCTGATGCTAAGGACATCTTCTGACATACGAAAAACAAAAGGGGCCATCCGTAGAAGCAAGATGGGAACCCCCTTTCATTCCACAACACGGGAATGAGAGGTGCCTATTATTAAGTACTGTCAATAAGTTAATTGTTCAAGTTTACTGCTGTTGGATTTAATGAGTTCACAGATGCCAAGGAACTGGTGTTACTGTTGTGGTAGCTTTTGTCCTTAACATGAAAATCTTAGGTACAAGAATCAAACTTAGGAGACATTTAACAAATAGATTTGTCTTTACTACGCTTCTAGTACATGCTGAGTCTCGCCCTAAGAATTTTAGTACAGGCTGAGCAGAAAATGCTAGTTTTGACCTCCACCTCGTTTCAGTGGCAATCCTGTGTCACTTCACTGGTGGAGAAGCAGTTATCAAGGCCTGAGCAATCCTGGGAGCATACAGTGCTAGTCTTGCTCTATTGCTGTGCTTAGCCCATGGAGCAGTCCAGCAAACAACAAAACAAGGATGAAACCACAAATCAGGGCATGTGGCAAAGCTAACCGGATTGCTGTACTGCCGCTGCCTTTATGCATTTAAATGTACCAACTCCAGTTTTTCCCATTCCTTAGTGCTCGGTAGGCATTTAGTGGTGTGTTTGGATATATACATGTTGCTTCTGGGTACCTATCCACAAAACTATCCAGAGAAGACCATGCCAGGCCAGGCCACAACAGCTGCATGTGAACACAGCATACACACATATCACTGGTTTTAGCTTGTGTTCCCCTGTTGCAGTGTCTCAGCATGCAGGCACGAGGACAGTCATGTCAGTAGTTGTATTTCCAGTCTCTAAATGCAGCAGGACCTACACAGTAAGGTAGTAATGCCAAGATTAACACCTCCTGTTTTTGAATGCATCAGAATCCACACACCAGGATACTGGTGCCAAGATTAACACTCCCAGCCTCTGAGCACATCACAGTTCACATACCAGGATACGTGTGCCAAGTTTAATGCTCTGAGCTCCCAGTGAAGGAAGATTCATGCTCCTAGCCACAGTGCCATGGGTTCCACTCACAAGCATGTTCCAGCTATCCCTCATGAACTGTGGCAGAGAGAAATGAACATGCAGACAGATGGTTTTGGTCTTGGCATCTTGCTTTTGGTGTGAAAGTCCCTGTCCCCTTTTCTTGCTGCAGGTTATTGGCCACACTCCAAGAAATGAAAATCTCCCCCAGGTTGGCAGCATGGCACCCAGCCCAGCCTCATCAGGAACCCCAGCTTCCTTTCAGGGACCCCCAAGCATGATGGACACTGAAACAGATGAGTACATGGATTACACTGGCTGTAGCCCTGGGGGCATCTCATCTGAATCTTCCAATATGGACCGCAGCTGCTCCAGCACTCCAGTGGGCAATGAAAGTACATCAGCAGGTAAGGGGGAGCAGGGGTTGCCTGCTCTCTTGGGAGATAAACTCATGAAGAGAGGTCCAAGGACAACTGCACCTTAAAATATAAACTGTACCAGCTTCACAATAGTGCCTCGTACTAACCTAGCTCCCTCCATCATCTGTGAGAAGAGATCCATCAAAATGTGCACCCCAAGCATCATGAACTAACAGCTTATCTTTTTTCTCCCCTGAAGAGAGGTTTTTATCCTCTGTCTTGGAGTTAGATCTATTTTAATAACTGATTAAAAAAAAAAAGTTGTGGGCCTGTTCTGTACTTGGCATTTCCCCTGATAGCCTTTGGTATTTCCTTGTGCAGCATCTGAAGTAAGTCAAGCACTTTCCTATACTGTTGAGGTACAGACAGACTTTACAATAGCAAATATTACCTACACAGGAGGAAAAAACCCTACCATATCTTCAGAAATCAACATATAAAAGCAGCTTATTGAGCTCCCTTCCTCATACAAAAACTCTTGTTCCACTTTGTGCAGTGTTGCACAGAGGAAACCTCCATCATACCCTCTTTTTGGAAGTAAGTTTCCACCATTGTTCCCTGTTTGTCAGGATAATGTGTAGCCATCTCCCACTGCCTTGTTTTACAGGGTCATCTTTCAGTAGTCGGGTATCTTTCATGAATTCTGTTATTGTCAGGTGGGATCCAGGGATCTCTTAGCTGTCCTTCCCAGGGCTAAGTGTTAACATTCTAGACAGGCTGCCTCACTGAGTTTGCTTTAATTTTGTACACCTTTTCCTACTTTTCTTTTCCCGCACCAGTTAGGTGAAGGTTATCATATGGCATATCTAACCATATATTGTATGAACGCTGCTGGGTCATGACAGTGGTTGTCCCATGACATTAAAGCTCCTCCTAAAGAGTTCTGGTGGGACGGTGGTTCCTGGCACTCTGCCCTTTGTCAGTACGCCATCTGGCCCAAATCACACTTCCTAGGAAATGGCCCCCGCTGCTATCCAGGTAGCGAGCAACTCCACCTGCCCAAAGTAGAAGACTACCCTTATAGCTATTAGTTGGTACAAGCTGGCACTATACAGATCAAAAAGGATCAGACAAGCACGGATTTCTGCATGAAAGCCTGTGGCTCTTCCCCCATGCCACTAAAGCCACCTTACATCCTGCAGAGACAACCCTCCTCTTCCTGATGCTGTCAGTTCCTCACCTTCTGTTTCTGCTCTGTTACAGTTCTGTTTCATGCATTTGTGAATGTATTTTCCATTTTCTTCATACTGCTTCTGCTCTTGGGGGTCTCATTTAAGTTCTTTTGTTTTTGTTTTGTTTTTGTTTTGTTGGTTTTATTTTGGTTTTGTTGTTTTTTTTTTCTTTTCCTTTTTTTCTGCTTTTTTTCTCTCCACATTCTCCAGGCTGCCTGGTTCCTTCTACTACTGCTGCTGCTGCCGATGATGCTACCCACAATGCACCACAACCTCAACCACCATCTCTGCCTCCATCTTTCTCACAAGCCCTGCTTAGGTCTCCCCTTCCCACCCTCCCCTATCTTTTCTCTCCATCTTGTCTCTCATACTCTCTGCTCAGTGCCACTCTTGGATCCAGCAGAGGCATTGTCATGCCTGCCAGCAGCACCACTGGGTTTTCGCCCATCATTGCCACTCCAACTCCAGTAAAAAGTGACGTTCCCTTAGTTCAGGATGCAGCAGGTAACACTTCTTTGCTTTCTCTCTTAGTGTCCTGTGCCCATCTCCTTCCCCACTCACCCTACGCACATTTTTTTCTCTGCACCTTTAGGCATACGTCACTCTGTGTCTTATTTAACTTTATCCAAGGGCCTGTCCATGCCTACTCCTTTTATCTGCTGGCACAGTAACCGCAGCTGAGAAGGGTAACCAAAACCACAGCAAATCATAGAGAGACATTTGGATACCTGAGAGCAATTTCCACCAATTCCAAACTATGAGAAAAATGTAACAAAATCCACAGTTTAAAAAGCACTTTTCAGCCTCTTGGTAACAGCAGGATGGCCACAGAGCAAACTTTGCTCATGTAGCATTAATGGGACTTGGAATCCTTGTTTAGATCTTCCAGGCCACCCAACCCAGTGCCCACCATAGTCTGCTGCCCACATCTCAGCAGGTAGATGTCTGACAAGGTATCCAGTTCCTGTATTTTTATAGATCTTGTAAGCTTCATTGCTTCTTACTCATACACAAAGCCATAAAATTCAGGACTGCTTTCCCTAGCACCAGTAACAGAGTGAACTACAGTCAGTGTCACTATGATGACATCATCAGACAGCTCAGGCTGTTTCTCACACTCACTGTTATTGACATCTGCTCTTAACAGCTGCAGAAAATACATCTAGATTTTTAGTTCTAAGCTGCCATGCTTCCCATGTGTGACTAAGATCAGAGATGTCTCCGGCTGGGGATTCTAATTCCAGCTGGGAATGGTTTTTAGGGTGTGTCTCAGTTTTTGGCTTCTTTTCCCAACTCCCAGCTCTTTTCTAGTTAATTAACGGCATACTTGTGCTTAAAGTTCACACTTAAGAGGATTCAGGCAGCCTACAAATGTCCCAGTCATTCTTCCTGCCAGTTTTAGCAATGCACAAATCCAAGGTAAATGAAATGGTTGGGAGTATGGCTGGAGGACCAGCTCCACTTGGAAGTTCACAGGTTCTTCTCATGGGACTTGGCAGGAGAAGGATCCTTGCCTTGTCTGGAGGAGTGTGTTCCAATGAACAAAATTCACAAGAAACCACATGTTTTGCTGCTTTTTTTTTTTAAAACTGATTTGCATGCAACCTGAAGCATCTTAACCTTGTGCTGTGCTTTCCGCTAATGATATATTTTAAAGTCTCTTTTCTTTTTACAGTTTTGTGAATGTTTACATTATTAGTAGTTGAAAAGACAAGCTTATGGCATGCAATTACCATTGAGATTTGCTTGGGATTCCATCTGTTGAGGTTTTTAATCTTCAGTTGGGTGCTAGGGACTGAACGTTGTCTGGTGGCTAAAGGAGGCGAGTGTACCAAGTTGCCAACTCTTCTTCATACCCCTGCTCTGAAACTTTGCCTGTATGGAAAACAAAATTGGTTTAACTCAAGTTTTAAGCACATCTGTTTGAACTGTTGTAAAAGGTGGGCAGATCCATTGAGTTTAAAACAGGTAAAATTTAAATTCTACTTTTTACCAGATTTCCAATCCAGAGTCTTTCTCCCAAAACGGCTTATCCCGTATTCCTGTCTGAAGGCAGACAAGATGAGCATTCATACTAATGATAAAAACTATACCCAAACCATCAAGTCTTTTTTTAAAGGAGGAGCAAGGGGTTGATCTGGATAGCAGCAATTTGTCCAGGCAACGATGCATTTACACCAGTCGCCTGGAAGCAGAGAACGAGATTTTACAATAGCAGATGTTTGAGGGGAGCAGAAAGTAATTGGTCACAGATTCTATAGCTAAGAGCTTGCTAATTTAAAATCTACAGTGAAAGAAAGTTATTCTTTCACTGGGAGCTCGTTAGATTAGCCTTAACGTGCAGTTTCCACCAGCTACATGTCACTAAGATGGTTTCACCATGGATGCCCCAAGCTGGTGTCCTTGCAGTCTGAGCAAAAGTGCCACGTAATGAATGCGCGTGGAGAAATCTTTTGTTCTTTGCTTATCCTGCAAGCTGTATAGCCCAGGCACACGAACAATGCAGGAGACTAGGCTGCTGCTACCATTGACTTGTATCTTTCAGTACAGCGCCAGTTTAACTTTTGGAGGCTTCCTTCAATGATCGCCACCTTCTCTTAAGGGGTGGTCATTTGAAGGGCCAGATATGGCAAAAATAGCATTCATCACTTTTAATACCCGCTTATCAACCAGAAAAAAAAATTATTCTACAACAGTCAAACAGATGCCTCCTTCTTCAGTCTCCTAGACAAGGATGCAAGCTGCTCTGGATTCTCAGGCCCCAGGCACTGCATGTCACAAATCATGCCTCTCTTTAAAAGGATGGCAGTTTCAGCATGAAGAGAGACCCAAAAAAAAAAAAAAAAAAAAGTATGTTTTAGTTGCAAGCTATAATTTCCAATTACACTTACAATTCTGCACCTGGTGAGAAATTCTTGCCTCCAACCTTGTCTGTTCTGCATGTTGATGCTGGAGATTGTGGTTTGGTTCTGGAAATAGCAAGCAGAGAAGGAAAAAAAGTTAATAGATATAATGAGGTCGAGTCCTTGATGTCAGCTTGATCCTAGGGGACATGAGCACTAGCCAGTTATGCTGGCCCTGTGAATGAAAGCGGAAGATAGATGAGGGCTCTTTATTTACTAGGGGCATCATGTGATTTTTGAGACCCAAGGGAAAGCTGTAGGACTGGTATTTTCTCTCAGAGTCCACTGGCTAGTGATGATGAGAATTAGCCCCATTGAACATCTGTCCATCTGTCTTTCTAAGTGCACTCATCGTAATATGTAGGCTCATTACAGTGAGGGATGTTGCAGTCTCCTGGCCAAAGTCCATCCTATTTCTATAAATTCCCCCCTTGCAGTTTTAATCACACATGGGATCTTCCTTCACTTCCTGCCTGTCCTTGGCAATTGTAGTGTATTACAAGAGCCTGGATAGGGGAAAACAGTATACACATGGCAGTTTTTAGCATGCTTAAACTCTTTTACCGCTTCAACCCTGATGAACTACAGTAAAACACCTCAGTCCTTGGATTGGAAAACAAGCCAGCTCCTCCGTATTGTCTGATTTGAGGAAGATAGGACTAGAGATTAACTAAGCAGCAAGAGAAATTGTGAGAGTAGCAAAATAGAGAAGCAACAGTTAGCATTTGGACAATATCAATATACAAGAGCAGCAATCAGAGGCAAGGTGAGATATGCTGAAAATTGAGGAAGCCATATCCAGCAGGCATCGGCCAGCCCGCAGTCCCAGAGCTCATGCTTACTTGGAGCTTGAGGGATGAGCTGCTGGGTGGGGACAGTTGCAGCATTGTGTCTTGGCAAATACAGAGCTTGCCAGGATGGTTAGGAGGTGAAGAAAGACCTGGCTGTCAGCAACACCACTCTTCGCTTTTTCTCCCCAGGGAATACCATCACTATGCCAACTGCCTCGGGGGCCAAAAAGCGTTTCTGGATTATTGAGGACATGTCCCCGTTTGGCAAGCGCCGCAAGACCGCATCATCACGCAAGATGCTGGATGAAGGGATGATGCTGGAGGGATTTCGGCGCTATGACCTCTACGAGGACTGCAAGGACTCCAGCTGCCAATTCTCTCTCAAGGTTACCCACTACCACTGCACGCGAGAGAATTGTGGCTACAAGTTCTGTGGCCGTACACACATGTATAAGCACGCCCAGCATCATGATCGTGTTGACAACCTGGTATTGGATGACTTCAAACGCTTCAAGTCTTCACTGAGTTGCAACTTCCCAGACTGTCAGTTCTCTGGCAATAGCACACACTTCCACTGTCTGCGTTGTGGCTTCCGCTGCACTGACAGCACTAAGGTGACAGCCCACCGTAAGCACCACGGCAAGCAGGACGTCATCAGTGCTGCTGGCTTCTGCCAGTTCAGCTCAAGCGTGGACTGCGAGGTGCCTGACTGCAAGTACAAACTCAAGTGCTCCCACTTCCATTGCACCTACCCTGGCTGCAAACACACAGTGGTGGGCATGTCACAGATGGACTCGCACAAGCGCAAACATGAGAAGCAGGAGCGAGGGGAGCTTCCTGCCATCTCTCCTGGCCCTGAGGGCCTTGCCCACTCCACTCTTGAGTATGACATCCAGAACTCTTCCATCAACCTGGACAGCTCCCTCAACCTCAGCACTGACAACAACAGCTCCCTCTTCTTCCTGCAGAATGCGGCTGGTGTGGGCCTAAACGATTCCCTGGACCTCAGCAAGAAGCAGTCAGAAGTCACTGAAGGTCCATCACCGAGCAGAGCCGGGGCTGCACCGCAGGAGAGGGGGGCAGTGGCATCTGGCTCTGGTGATGTGGAGGATGAGGATGACTCTTCCCAAGAGGATGAAGAGGATGATGAGGAGGAGATGAATGAAGAAGAGGAAGATGATGAAGAGGAGGAGGAGGATGATGACGATGAGGAGGATGATGAAGAGGAAGACCTGAACACAGATTCTGAAGAATCGCTCCCTGACCCTGAGGGCCTGGCCACTAAAGAAGATGGAGAACCAGAGGAGGCTGCTTCTTCCACAGACCATGGCGATGCTTCCAGGCCACAGGGTGAGCCGCCCCTTACTCCAGCCCCAACTCCTGCTCCAGCTCCATCTGCTGCCCCAGCCTCTACCATTGCTCCAGCAGCTTCTCCTTAATCTTAGAGACAACAGCGGCAGTGGTTTGGTTTTGCTCTTACACAGAATTACTAAGAGGACCCCATATGAGGCAAGAACAGAGATTGGGATGGCAAGTGAAAAACAAACTCCGTGCCACACACACGAGAGAGAGAGAGGAAGGAAGGAAACCCATGCCCCTCCACAGGCCCCATAAGAGAGACAGGTTCGCAGCAGGACTGGTGCTGCGTCGCTTCATTCTGCAGATCACAGAACATGGGGGCAGGGGGCAGCAAAAAAATACCCTTTTATACAGACATGAACCTTGAGGGTACTGGCTGCTTTTCCTTGCTCCCTGCATGGTGCGTGGGGCCTGTGCCCATCTGGGGACCCTTTGTTATGGGTGGGGCTCTATCCCCCCATTTTTCTTTCTGGGTTTTATTTTTCCATGTTTTCAGTTGTACGATATTAATAATAATCTCCACTTCTTGGAGGGGGGTGGGTGGGAACAACAGGTAATGAATTTTAGAAATATATATTTGTGTGTGTGTCTCTCTCTATATATATAATGTACACACACACACACATATATAATATTCAAGGAATTGGTGTCACAGAGACAACCAGCTCAGTTTTTGCCAGGAAGGAGGGGGCGAGGGGTGTGCGCTTTCTCTCTCTCTCCATCCCCCCCCCTTCTTTCTCCAGCATTAAATGAATGGCATCAGGCAGCAAGGGTGGGAGTGGGTATTTATTGTCACATAAATGAGGACGCATTAATGAATGAGCAGGGGTGGGAATGGGACACTCCTCTGTTCTTCCAGATCCTTTTTACTATTAATGATAATAATTTTGAATGCTATTTATATTGTAAAACTTTCTCAGTCTACACTTTCTCTGTAGGACACCTCTCCTCGTCCCTGCTGTTCTGCCTGTAGGGATTTAGCTGAAGTAACTTGGGAAGAACACAGCGGGCAGTTAAAGGGTCTGTCACACTGGAGGACTGGGGTTAATCTCCCATCCAGTTCCATCTCATCCCAACCCCCAGGTGCTTCCCCTCTGTTAGAGGGTGAGGCATTTTTGTGGTGCTTCAGTATCCCCATCTCAGGAGGTTGTGAGCCAACACTGTCCTGTGGTGCAGCACAAGGAGCACCGAGCAAAAAGGGCGTCTTAGCCATTAAAGCAGCCTTGAAAATACTATTTGCCCTCTGCCCCAAGCAGTCGTACAATGACAGTTACGTCCTCAGTCCCCAGGCCCTCATCCCGTCTTTCTCTGGGGAGGGGGCAAGTCTGTCTTTCTGGGTGGACTGATAACAGATCTCTGGTGACTTCTGGGACAGGGTGAAGGCACCACTGAAGAGGGAGGAGAAGGCAGGCAAACATTCAGGATCCCACTGTGGGGTGTCCTGCTCAGATTGGGGTCTCTTCTGCTCAGCACTGGGGCAGGGAGGGGGACAACGCTGTTCTGCAGCACCTCCGTAGCTATTGGCCCAGTCAGGGTTTTTGCAGCTGCTTCAACCTACGCAGCACAGAGAACTCCAAGATGGGGGGAGATGCTAGCTGAGGCCAGGATGTAGTCCAGCTAAGAATTAATGCATTTCTGCAGCCATGCTGATAAAATTTGCCAAGTAGGGCTAATAGCCTGGGCACTGCATAAGCAAATGCAACTGTACTGTGTTGAGACCTGCCACCTCCAGCAGCTTGGGCTTTCCCCTGGTTACCAGCTCTTCCCAGCTCTCTTTTTTCCTAGCGCAGTCTGGGAACACACACTACTACAGGATACTGTCCCGGACTCTGACAGGTGAGACAGTAGCTGTTTGACCCCAAATACCCGCCTAAGTCAGAGAGAGGCCTTGTCTACATACACCTGGGCTCCAGAAAGACTAGCCGTATGAATTAATTCTGATAATAGTTATTTCAGTGCCAGTTTGTAAGTATATCAGCCTAGCAAAAGGTTCCTTGTGTCTGAAGTTTGTTCCCTTTTTAAAAAAAAAAAACCTAATTGTTTTTTTTTTTAACATCATGCAGGCATTCCCTCCTCCCAACTCCATGAGCACTTCAGCTCCAAGGGATCCCCATAATTTGTTTTCACTCTGAATAGATAAAGGCCTCAAGAAGTTTAGGTTGCTTTTTTTTTTTTTTTTTTTTTTTTAATTATTTCCCTAAGGAACTGGTGCAGATCAGGTCTGATTTATAAACAAGTAGCTCAGCTGTGTAAATGTGGGGACAGAATGTTCAGATAATGTTTCAAAAGGAAAGGCAAAAAAAAAAAAAAAGTTGTACAGTATTTTTCCTGTAAAGGTTATTACTATATATAGAACAAAAGAGAAACCACCAATGCCAGGGGGATGTGGGGGGGTGTGTGTCACCTGCCTTCTGGATAGCCCTTAGATATGGTTAATTGTGTGCAATTTTTTTTTTTCTCTCTCTTTTTTTTTCCTCCCCCTTCAATGTAGTGTTTGTTTGTAGGGGGTGGCAGGGGAGGGGGGCCTTAATGCTACGGTTTGAGGCTGACTTCACACTCCTAGCACTGACCGGAGCTGCACGATTCCGAATTCTAACTTGAATTTTGTAGAGATGAAACAAATGAAAACAAAACAAATGAAATATTGTTATTACTAGTTGGTAGTTTATTTAATTCTTTGGAGTTCTTTTCCTCTATCAGCTATTTGTGTGGCTTTTATTTTTATAGGGGTTTTTTTGTTGTTTGTTCGTTTGTTTTTGTTTTGTTTGGTATATCCCCTGCCCTCAACTGTGTGTTTTCTAGCACAACCCAATTCTTGAATATAATGAAGCTCATGTTCCTGGGGCAGAGTGAGGGAATGAGGCCCTGGAATTTCTAGAAATGGGATGGGGCAAAAAGATTTTACTTTAACGGCATTTGCTGCAGGTTCTATACTTGTACATTTTTCTCATATTCAGCTACTTAGATAGTATGGTGGTGGGCTCCAAGAGGAATCCTTGGATGTAACACAAGCCACATCTTGCAAAACAGATGGGTTTATTTTCTACCACTGAAACCAACATGACGTCTATCAGTGACTTTTGCAGGAGCAGGATCGAGCCTGCTGCCTTCAGTGCAACATCCTGCCAGGTTTATGAAACCTGCCTGCGAGCGTTGTTAACACTGAAGGCGAGGGGGGAGTCTGGTTTCAGTGGCAAGGCACGGGGCTCACTTGGGCCGCTTGTTTCCCTTTGGGCTAGATGGGCTGTCTCCCTGCTGTGAGGAGCTGGGAACCTGCACTGGGACGCAGCGTTTTTACCTCTCCCCTTTCATATCTCACCAGACTCCACTGACTGAATCGCTGCACAACAGTGGGAGAAAGCAGAATTGCGTGGAGAAAAGGGGTAAAAAGATCTACCAGTAGCTCTGCTAACACCAGCCGACGTTGGTTGGCACTGGAGTAATGTTATCATCCCTGGAGGCAGCTTTAGGCAGGTGCGGCCAGTGCAACTGCACCAGGATCCGCGCTGGAATGGGGCCCTGTTTCACGCGTCCTTCTGCGTGACTAAGCGTGCCAGAAGGGCCTGTTTTTATCTATGCACACCATTTTCTCCCCCAAGGCACCCTGTTTCTCCCTAACATCTCAGCCTTTCTCCCAAACTTTTATCACCTCTTCTCCGGGAGCTGGCACAGGGAATGAAATTTCTTTCCCAACAGGCTACTGCTAAATGCGACCCCCAAGCAGGTCCTGATCCCCCCGAAGGTCATATACCCTCCCAGGACAGTGGCCACCCAGCAAGGCTGGCCCTACCCCCAGAGCGCATCTTTCTTACTCAACCTTCTCCAAGTCTTCTTTCTGTAAATTTCTTACTATGTCTCTATTTGCAACAACAACAACAAAAAGTCAAGAAAGTTAAACCCATCTTCATTCTGCCACGTTAAGGCTTTAATTCAGCAAAACTCCTAAGCACATGCTTTCTGAACGGGCACAGACTGAAGCCCACGCTTAAGTGCTTTTCTGAATAAAGGCCTCAACAGCACGAAGGTCCCTATTACAGCAAGGTGGTTTTTTTCACTTCAAGCTATCATATCAATAGGACTGTTAATACAATACTATTGAAATATGTGCTTAAAAGAATGACCAGAGAAAGCGAGGGAGATTCAACTAACTGTATGAGGAGGGGGAAAGAGGAAATGGAACCATTCTGTCCAAAACAAGATAAAAACCAAACAAAGTAAACGTTGAGGTGGACCCTCCTGATTCTGCTACCATTCAACTGCTGAAGAGCAAAAAAAATGAAATAGAATAAAAAATATTGACTAGATTGTTCATTCTAGCCACAAACCTAACTGGATTAAAGTCTGCGTGGAAGGAATTTTGTAAAGAAAAAAAAAAAAAAAAATTTTCCAATGTAGCAAAAAAAAAAACTTTAAAAAAAACAAAAATGAAAAAAAAAGACAGAGGGAGGATTCTAGCCTTTTGTAATATCCATATTGCACACTAGGACTATAAGCCATTGCTAGCTCATTTTGAATTTTAAATGTGTAATTTTTTTTGTTTTGTTGTTGTTTTTTTTCTTTCCGTGGGGGAGGGGGGGAAATAAATGCTTGAACCACCAATGCTCTTTTTAATGTTTTATAAATATGTATGTGTATATATATAAATATAAAAATAATATGTATGCACATATATATGTGTGTGTGTATATATCTATATGTATATACATATATATAGATATATAGATATATATATAGGTTTTGAGACAAAAATGCAGAAAGTGAAAAAAAAAAAACACCCTAAACAGGATGGTGTGCTCTGATTTACTTGAATCTGGTCTCTTCAGCACCTGCGTTATTAAGAACTGAATATTTTTCCACTTGAATTTAGTGCTATTAGAAATTTAATATATGTGTTTTATTTATTTGATTTTTTTTTTGCATGACTGATGCAAGGTTTGACATTTTCACTCAATAAAAACTGGAAAAAAAACGCCAAAGTTTTAAGTGATCAAGTTGTCTTCTTGACTGAGGAGGTGTTTCAGTTTTTTAAGAGCTAACAAGTCTTGGAGCAGTTCAGGTCTTTTAAAGCACTGCAGTCCTA